TAATTTTTTCTATTGAAAGACCTAGAAATAATGACCAACCAGTAGCAATGAAACTACATAGCAAATAGATTATGGTCCCTAGTTACCATTTTCCACATGAGGGAGTCAAGTGTTACTGAAGAAATAGCTGCTTCCAAAACTAGGGCAGGAAAGTTTCAAGATGAAACCGGAGTATCTTGTCATAGCAAACAGCACAGAAATCATCAAAGACCACTGACAGGATATCAAAAAGGCTCAGGGGCCAACTGGAGGAACCCCTGAGCCAGAGACGGGCAATATGAACATCAGTAATTCTAATGGATTGACATGTATCTATCAAATACGTCAAATCCATGAGTTTATGTTGACAATCCTCTCCTCAGAAAAAGATCTTATTACATTTGGAGGACACTAAAAAAGCTAACTCGTTATTTTAGAAGACAAATAAATGAAAAGAATCAAGCATTTATCCAGACTTTCCTATATACAATATACCTTAAGGTAGGCAGACAGTTGATACAGGGAAATTATAAGTAATCCAACTAACCCATCAAGAAGGAAAAACAGAATTATAAAAGTACCATTTAATGACCCCTTAAGCTCTAATGAAATGCTGTAATTATATAGGCAATAATTATAATTATTAATTTTAAAAAGTAAAAAAGAGGTAAACAGACTTGTGATGGAAATTTGCATCACCCATAAAGTATTTTCGACAAAACAATTTGATCTAGCTTTTTTGTTGCTAGTCACCAAAGATGTCCCACCACTCCTCCGTAAACTATGCCTTCTGCTTTTCTTACTTTTGTAATCCCCTCTCCTTTAAGCTTGGCTGCTTTTGTGATTCACTTTAATTAACAGAATGAGGTGAAAGTAACATTGTGTGACTTCTAGGGCTAGGTCAAAAGAAGCCCTCCGTTTCTGCTTTGGTCTCCTGGTGGGCTCATGGGGTAAGCCAGCCACCACATAAGAAGTCTGTACCCTGTAAAAAAGTCCAAGCTAGCCATACAGAGAAGCCATGGCGAAAGAGGTGCCAGACCAAGTCCTGGCCACCCCAGCCTTTCAAGTCCAGGCACCAAACAGGTAAGTAAAGAAGCCTTTAGAAGACTTCAGCCCCAGCCGCCATCTCACTACAACCATATAGAAGGACCCCAAGTGAGAACCACCCAGCTGAGCCCATCCATCCTCAGAACTAAGAGAAATAACCAATCATTGTTTTAAGCCACTGAGTTTAGGTGTTGCTTCTTATGCAGCAACAGATTAATGAGACAAATCTACCAATTTATATCAAAGGGAAACTGTTACATAAAACCAGGAGGAAACAAAACAAAAAGGGACTGCAAGCCTATCAGTCAAAAATAAATCCACATTGGGGGCTCCAAAAGGTGGGAGGGTGGGAAAAGGGTGAGAGTTTAAAAACTACGTATTGAGTATAATGTTCGCTATTTGGGTGATGGGTTCACTAGAAGCCCAAACCTCACCATTAAGCAATAATATATCCATGTAATAAATCTACACATGTACCCCTGAATCTAAAATATAGTAACAACAATAAAAAAGAATGAATCAACTTATATGTAAGATTTTCTCTATTTTTATGAGTTGGTTTTTTAAATCAGGAGCCTAATAAAGTTATGAGATTATAAGGGACATGTGAACATAACCAGATATTTGATATTAAGAAATTATTGTTGACTGGGTATAGTGGCTCATGCCTGGAATCCCAGCACTTTGGAAGACCAAGGTGGGAGAATCACTTGAGCCCAGGAATTCAAGACTAGCATGGGCAACAGAGCAAGATCCCTTATCTATAAAATATCTATCTAGTTAGCTAGCTAGCTATCTTAAAAAGAAATTATTGTTAAACAATTTAGTTGTGGCTGTGTTTAAAAGAGCGTTCTCAACTCTAAAGATACAGACTAAATATCCATGGATAAAATGTTTGTTATGGTGGGGAGTGGGGGAAAGGGGAAATGAGAGTATAGACTGGCCATGAGTTTATAAGTGTTTGGTCATGAGTTTATAAGTGGTTTATAAGTATCTTTAAGTTTCATAAAACTGAAAGTCAATTTTATTATTCTCATTACTTTTGCATATATTTGAGTTTTCCATAATAAAATTGGATAGCCTTTGTTGAACTATTTGGCTACTTTTTAAAAGTGTATAACAAACTTAAAAATCAATAGTAGCTGACATACTGTAGGATTCCAACTACATGACATTCTGGGAAAGGCACAACTCTGGAGACAGTAAAAAGATCATTGGTTGCCAGGGGTTAGGAGAGGGAGAAGGATGACTAGGCAGAGCACAGAGGATTTTTAGGCCAGCGAAACTATTCAGTATGATACGGCAGTGGTGGATACATATCATTATATATTTATTAGAGCCCACAGAATATACACCAAGAGTGAAACTTCATGTAGACTATGGACTCTGGGTGATAATGATGTGTCACTGTAGGTTCATTGATTGTAACAAACACTTCACTGTGGTGAGGGATGTTGATAGTGGGAGAGTCTAAACATGTGTGGGAGCGGGGGGATAGAGGAAGTCTCTGTACCTTTCTCTCAATTTTGTTGTGAACCTAAAATTTCTCTAAAAAAGTAAAGTCTTTAAAAAGAAAAATTAGTAATAGCTGAAAGAAGCCATGATGCCATAATCTTCATTTTGTAAAGCCCTTTCTTTAGCTAAAAAATAAAATTATCTTCACATCACCATGTATCTAAAATATCAATGTAGAGTTTTAGCTATGATTCCTCTTCTTTCCTGTAAAATAGAGATCATAATATCCTATCCCAATATACATACAAAGCTGGTTTAAAGATAATTTCTGAAAAAAAAAAAAAAAGTTTAAAAAACCACATTCTGCTACACAAATGTAAAACTTTGTTGATAGTAGGGACCAGGCATTTGGCAAAATATATTGCATATATGCACAATGCCTGGCAAATACTAAAGGTTCCATAAATATTTTTTGGATGAATGAGTAAATCAAGAGAAGAGTGAACAAAGATTTTATTACAATAGTTTGCCTTTGATCCTGCATCTTTTTTAAATGGGTCAACTGAACCACAGAGTGGGAGAGGTAAATAGCTTACTGTGAACCCACTACAACCATCTGTTCAAACAACTTACATACATCCTACTACTGGAGAATTTTTAGCACTGTTTTTAAGCTTTTATATACAGAGTACAAATATTGATGACTACTATCTTGGCTTGCTATACCTGATCATATCTACTTTGGTGGATTTTAATTTTAAAAAAGCAAATTATAAGAGACTGAAAGCCTGGTATTTAATACATGCTGGACAAGTGAGCAATAAACAATTGCAAAGTTTCCTGGGGGCTATTTTGCTCTGTCTCATCATCAGGAAGCTAAAACATATGCTGGATGTTAGCCTGGGTGGACACAGTGTGTCCTATTTATTCAAGGTTTCCTTTGAAGCCACAATTTATAAGTTTTGTTTCTTAGGGGTACATGTCAAACTTCATTTAGCATTAGTTGGTATCCAGATACACTGAATAGCAAAAAGGCAGCATTTGGGGGCAAAAAAAAAATATGCCTGCTATATGAGCAATGATGTCAGTTTCATTTATGTAACTCATGGAAAACAAGAGGAGAAATACAACAGGAAATCTGACAGTAGGAAATCAAGATTAAAACTATTCATTTAATTTAGAAGTGTAAAATTGCATATGAACAAGGAAAAATATTAAAAGCAAATATGTTTTAAATCAATGTCTAAGAGGAAGGAATGTTTAGAGGAAGTTCTATTAAAATGTTATGATTTTTAATTCTTAAACTTCAAAGATTATACTTACCTGGAGCACATTCGTATGTGCAATATTTTTCCCTTTTATCCTAAGAATGTTTGGCAAATTTTTCTATAAGAATCTTCAAATTTTAAACATACAAGGGGATGCTTGTGGAACTGATGCTTCACTTTGGAATATTTTCACAAAATATGATGATGGACTATAGCACATATAGCACATATAGAAATTTGATGGACTATAGCACATCCATGAAATTGACCCCCCACTAAACAAACAATATGGGAGTAATGTTTTGTACCTATAAATTATTTTGCATTTGTTATAATAGTTCATTTAAATATCAAAACAGCCTGTGAATTAGGTGTCATAAGCCTAAATTTATAGATATGGTAATGCAGAGTTCAAAGCGCAGTTACGTTTGTAAACCTAAGTCATCTTCTTCATATTGCTGATTGATTTAAAGACCCTACAATACTTTGGAAAGTAGCTTTCTAGTATGGTTGCAATGCTTACAATTACAAAACAATTTATCATGCCATTTCAACATTATTTTTCTAAGATTCATCTGTGTTGCTTAGTTTACAGTGCATGCACTTTCAATGCTGTGTTTTACTCTATTATGTGAACAGACCATACATTATATATTCATTTTCCTCTTGATAGATATTTGCATTACTTTCCTTTTTGAAATTGCACCCAGTGCTTCTATGAACTTTTTGTACATATATCCTGGTAGATACATGCAACAGTTCGCCTAAGGCATATACCTACTGATAAAATTACTAGATCACAAGGTACCCCCAACTTTTCTAGGCATGTCCAACTGCTCTACAAAATTTATATCAACTTATGTAACCATCATACAATACTTTCACAAAGTTTAAAAATAAAACCGAACAGCCGGGTGCGGTAGCTCACGTCTGCAATCCCAGCACTTTGGGAGGCCGAGGCAGGAGGACTGCCTGAGCTCAGGTATTCGAAACCACCCTGGGCAACATGGTGAAACCCCACCTCTACTAAAATACAAAAAAATTAGCTGGGCATGGTGGCACATGCCTGTAATCCCAGCTACCCGGGAGGCCCAGGTGGGAGAATGGCTTTAGCCTGGGAGGCGGAGGTTGCAATAAGCCAAGATTGTGCCACTGGACTCCAGCTTGAGCGACAGAGTGAGACTCCATCTCAAAATAATAAATAAATAAAAATAAAAATAATAAAAATAATTTTAAAAATAAATAAAACTGAACAATACATTACTTTAGAAATACATGTACATATGATAAGATTATTAAAAAGAAAGACCAGGAACCCTAATAATACAATTCAGCATAGCAGTTATTTCTAGGGCAGACAAGGAAATGAAATGGTGAATAGTCACAGTTGGCTTCAATGTTTTGGTAATATCCTAGTAATACGGGCAGAAGGCAGGGAAATACTGTGTAGGAGAGGGCAGTTCCCAAGCCATGGCCCCATCCACAGGCCTGGGCCCATGGCCCTAAATGAGAACTTCACATCCCTGTTTTCCCACTTGAGTGTTTTTTTTTTCAAAAACCACTCTGACCCACAACACCCCCTGCCTGTACCTATAAAAACCCCAAATTCCACTGGCAGAGGAGTGGAGTTGCATGGCCGAGAATGAGAGAAAAGAAGAGGCAGCTGGAAGGTTGGAAATGGGGGAGGTTATCTTCCCACTCCATCCCCTTTCCAGTTTCCCATCCCACTGAGGGCCACCTCCACCACTCAGTAAAACCGCTGCATTCACCATCCTCGAAGTCTATATGACCTGATACTTCCCAGATGCTGGACAAGAACCTAGGTACCAAGAGGGCAAGGTGTAAAAGGCTTTCACCCTGACTCTCCACTGAGCTACTTAACACTTAGACATCTTGGATGGCAACTGCTAAAAGAGCATTAATCATAACACACCCCTAGATGCTGCCATGGGGCGAGAGCCCAAAGGCACTCACCCTGGCCCAGGCACCTGTTTGCCTGTGTGCTCCCCCTCCCACAAGGGGTTTGAGCACCCGGCCAGGTAATCGAGCCACACCTCTGTCACAAGTCCTATGAAGGGTCCAGGCAACTCTGCTATCTCACTAGGTTTTAAGTACAGTTGTGGATCCCACAATCTTAATGACTAAACTTACAACTTACATATGCGCTACATGTATTCGTTTAGTTGTATCAATATTTACATAATTTTAAAACCTTGGTTGTACAATAATAAGGATACAAAAAGGGTTAGGAGCCCTGGAAATTGTTGGCAAATAGGACTTTACATTTTAAAATAAATGTATTAAGATGAAAAATTTTTTTAAATACACATCTTTAATGCATCATGCCAATACTTCCTCTTATTCAACAGTTCTTTGTTGTTACGTTTTCAGCCACCTCAATTAAATTTCATAGAAATTAAACACTGGGAGATGAAGAAAGGGATTTGGTTATGTTTACTCTTCCAAAGCAATCTGTCCTTTCACTAAATACATCTATCTTGAAAACATTTAAATAGCCAATTATCAAACAAATAAAATAATGACAAATTACTAGTGGGCCCCCCCCCAAAAAACTAAATTGAGTATTCCAAAAGTAATATATCTCCAATATGTATATTTATAAATTACATAATTTACATACTATGGTTTTGTATATGAGTATATATCTCCAATATGTGTATTTATAAATTACATAATGTACACACTATGGTTTTTATATATTATAGACATTTGAACCATTTCAAATTTATAGGGAATTTAACTTTAAAAACATATCTAGGCCGGGCGCGGTGGCTCAAGCCTGTAATCCCAGCACTTTGGGAGGCCGAGACGGGCGGATCACGAGGTCAGGAGATCGAGACCATCCTGACTAGCACAGTGAAACCCCGTCTCTACTAAAAAAATACAAAAAAAAAATAGCCGGGCGAGGTGGCGGGCGCCTGTAGTCCCAGCTACTCAGGAGGCTGAGGCAGGAGAATGGCGCAAACCCGGGAGGCGGAGCTTGCAGTGAGCTGAGATCCGGCCACTGCACTCCAGCCTGGGCGACAGAGCGAGACTCCGTCTCAAAAAAAAAAAAAATAAAATAAAAACATATCTAAGTAGAAGTTATAATGTGTTCTTCCCATACCCTAGTGGAAGGTTGTGTGCACCTCACGAGGCTCACACCCTTCACTTTGGAGATTACCACTCCAATTCACAAGAATTGCATTAAGAAGCAAGTAGCCCAAACTTGCTTAAAGGACTTGCTATTAATATTCTGTTTGTAAATCCACATTGTTCAGTTATCTATTCAATCTATTTCTATTATTCTGAAGAAATTAATATCTGTCTGATTTAAAGTAGATAACACCCAATTCCTTCAACAACTCTGTTTACAAATAGTGTAAATGAGGATTAAAGGCACCATCTTAAGGTTTTACTTATGTTCCAGGAACTCAACGAAAAAACAAACAAAAGACCAAAAAAAATCACTTTTGTGATACTGGTAATTGATTTTTTTAGCTTTCCAAGTAGATAAAATCAACACCTTAAAAGACTTGTCTTTAACCCGGGCTTTCTTTTATTAAAGTGTACAATTGCAGGCGCATGCCTAGAGGAGTAATAGCTGGCTCCTAACAAAAGAGCCTGGATTCCACAATATGCCTTTTGCCAGAGGCATCGTTCCCCAAAGCATACAGCTAACTGCATCTCCTGCTGTACCTGTAACAATTTAATTGTATAAGTCAGCCTAGTCAAGCATCTCCAGCTCGTGACTGGGAGACATGAAATTCATTGTCATTATTGTCCCTGTCATTTTGGATCATTATATCCGGCTGCAGAATTTTCCTCACTTCAGTGCATTTTTACCTCCAGGAGCCAGGGATTATAGCTGAGGTTGGGGTGGGGGCAGGACTGTGAACTACATTTACCTCAGGGGAGCCAGAGATTAAATTGGCTTTGCTCTCTCACGAGCTGAATTCATCTATTTGTATGCTGTGAGTTTTAGGTTGGAATAAAAATGAATATTCTAGTGAAACCTGGGCTTTAATTCCCCCTTTGAAACATGGATGTAACCAACTTTTATTTACATTAGGAAAAGGCAATATAATTTCTTATAGTTGCTCTTTTCATATGTGCATAAGGAATGCTTAGAAGCATCATCGGATATGAAACGACAGACATCTCTGTCAATGTCTTGACTCTCAGAAAGGAGAAATTTAAAGCTGTAATTTTGTTCTTCAGTTTTATTTTACAATGGCTTAATGGAGGTATTTAATGGTTTTTAATATTTAATGATTTTTAATTATAGCTCATTTTCTGTGTACTAGATTGGATGACTGGAGTCTAACTAGAATAGCCACAAAGATCCACTATGGGAACAAATAGAGGGGAAAAAAAATAAGTCCCTGAGAAAACTGGCTACCCCTAACAGCTGGTTCACATCATCTCACAGCCTGTCAAGTCACCCAAGCATACCATGCCTTAAACACTTTCTTCTAACTTGAGAAAGTTGGCCTGGTCACCATCCTCTCTACCTGGTAACTCCCTTATCAGCAGTAACGGCCAGCTGTGGGTTTCTACTAGGCAAGTTCGAAAATACTAGGACATGTCTCAGTCAGAAAACCAGTGAGTTGACTATATGATTACTCTAATAGACTATAAGAAGGAAATACAACTGCAGGAAAAACTGGTATGTCATTTACTATCCCAACTTTCATTTCATACGGATTTCACTGAGAAGTTTGAGATTCTGTCTGCATTTAAAAAGATGACAGTTATTCCTCCATACACGTGAATTTGTTTTTCAGTGGTTAACAATGAAATATGGCACAGATCATAATTACGCCATGTACAGAATAGTAACTATAATTACTACATCAAAATGTATGAAGGGCCAGACGAAGTGGCTCATGCCTGTAATCCCAACACTTTGGGAGGCCAAGGTGGGAGGATCACTTGAGGCCAGGAGTTCAAGACCAGACTGTCACTACAAAAAATGAAAATTAAAAAATATATATAAAATGTTGGAGGGAAAAGTGCATGGAACTTATTACCTCTATGAACTTTTGTGGGAGAACAAACTCTGCCTTCATCATATGCAGTGGCCATCAAAATTTAATTAGGATGAACTGGGTTTATGAGAAATTAAATTTTTTATCTTTGTATATTTTGTACTTCAGAGGAAACATCTTACAGCCCTAACATCTCTGCACTGAAGATACCTTACAGATCTTCTCAGTGCCTGGAAGACTGAGAAACGTTTACTAGTTTGTCCCACTATATTTTCACACCATTATATTTCACTTTTCATTGGTGCTGAAGTAAGTGTATAAGGTATTACTAATAAGAGTTTTTAGTTAGCAGAACTTCTTGCAGCATTAAAAGTTCATTTGATTATCTGGTCACAGTGGCTCACGTCTATAATTTCAACACTTTGGGAGGCCAAGGCGGGAGAATCCCTTGAGCTCAGGAGTTCAAGACTAGCCTAGGAAATGTAGCGAGACCTTGTCTCTATCAAAAGTAAAAAACAACTAGCCAGGCATAGTGGCACATGCTAACTATAATCCCAGTTACTTGGGAGACTGAGGCAGGAGGATTGCTTGAGCCCTGGAGATTAGAGGCTTCAGGAAGCTATGATCAGGCTACGGCACGCCAGCCTGGGTGATAGGGCAAGACTCTGTCTCAAAAAACTTAATTAAAATTAAAAGTTCATTTGATTACTTATGCCACTTTTTCATCAGATTCAAAATTCTCCCTTGGTGGGAGTTACAAAAATTATTTCTGTTCGCTTTAAAATGGCTAATTTTCATTGAATTTTATTGAATTTCACCTCAATACATTATTTTTAAAGTAAATTCAACATTATTTCAAGAAGCCTGAATGCAACTTGAAATCACTTCGGTGGCTGTTGTTATACTCTCATCATGGTGATTTATCAAGAAGAGTATGTATTTTCCTTGTTAAGAAAAGCTTATCTTATAAACTACAATGTTTAGACTTGGGTTTGCAATGATAAAACTTCACATTGAAATATTTTTCTCTCTGAAATATTTTAGTAGCAGGATGATACTGTAATAACGTTTTTCCAGTCAAAGGGAAAAAAGGCATTCATTCCTTTTGTTGAGCATGGATTTACTCATTTAATTCTTTTACCTACATGCTCCTCGTCATCTTATTTCCATGTCAATATTCAATTTGATCATCATACCATATTAGGTAAAACAAGAGTTGCCCCACATGTAAACATGTTGTAAAACCACAGAACTACACTGTTGCACTTGCTTGTTTTGCCTCACCTCAAGTATAATGTAGTTAGGCCTGTACCATTTTAGAACAAGGTAAAAAGACAAATTATTTACATCAAATGAGTAGAATATAATTATTTTTACTCCTTTGGCTCAAGACTTAATGAGTTTACAACCGATTTCCAAAGAGCAATTTGAAAATATTTTAAATACTTTTTAAATTTTTCAGAAATTTTTGCTAAGCTCATAATTGCAATCTATAACAGGCTATAAAGATCAATTCTAGATTAAAAGATTCTTTTTCCTCATGATTCTAAGAGAATAATGTTTCTTCTGCCTTGTGTAACAAAGATTTCCCTTGGCTTCTTCATGTAGAATCAATAAGAATTTACAATTCACAACAATACCAAACCAATGTAAAACAGGATGTCACAAATTCAGACATGACATTCGCTAATATTTCTTTTCTTCTTTTTTTTCTGAAATAGGGTCTCATGCTGTCACCCAGGCTGGAGTGTAATGGCGGAATTTCAGCTCACTCTGGCCACCTCAGTCCCCCAAGTAGCTGGGACTATAAGTGCATGCCACCACACCTGGCTAATTTTTTGTATTTTTAGTAGAGATGAGGTTTCACCATGTTGGTCTCAAACTGGGCTCAAGTGATCTGGCTGCCTTGGCCTCCTAAAGTGCTAAGATTACAGGCATGAGCCAACATGCCCAGCCCACTAATATTTATTTTTAAAAGATTCAGATATTGACAAGCTTATAAATAAAATTTGTTAGTACCCAATAGATCACAAAGCATAGAAAATGAGTAAGTATGTGAGAGGGTTTGTGCGGGAGGGATTAGTAATAAGATGGAAAGGCCACAAACATTTCCATGTCAGGATGGGCAGGATGCTATTTACAGAATGCCTTCTTACTCCTCCTGGACCAAAAATCTCTTTACTATAATCACCCAATAAACTACAATGGGTTAACATTAAGGGTCTGATGCAGAGAAAGCAAATTCACAGTTAAGGTTGTCCTTTAACATGTAGACTCAATCAAGGGCACCAAAAAAATAGTTAAGTGGCCCCCCTGTGGTGTTCAGATGCTGGGAAGCACTGCAAACTGTGAATTTTCTAGCTTTTAATGTTTGCCTAAGACCCTTAACATTTTTCTAATATTGTTGTTCCTAGGACATTTTCTTGAGTTTGGTTCACATATACTTTTTGCATTTATATATGAAAGCCTGACAGCTGAATTGGTTCAGAAATGTAACACTGGAAAGAAGAAAAAAACACAGGGATAGCCTTTGGGCCATCCCATAGTATTCAGTATAAATATCAAAATATCCTGAAAAAAATAAAACAACAACAACAAATTCTTCTTACTAGGAGTTTAGATATCTAATACTAAATAGAAAAGATAATATAATGGGTGTTGGGGGCTCACTGAGATATAGAATCTAAGCTGTCCTCTGCATCACAAAATTTTTAGGACTTTTTGAACATGTATAATTATCTGTGTTCAGCTATTTCCTTATAAATGGACACCCTTGGACTATATTCCAATCTCACACACTTTAAAACTACTAGTAAAATTTTACAAATGGCTTTGCCTGTTTTGTTTTATATTGTTTTGTGGTCCATCTGGAGATATATTAAGTGCTCCTTCAAATAAAATGTACAAAATTATATTGCACACATGCAAAAAAAAAAAAAAAAAAAGAATGAACATTGAACACATGGCAAATGGCCACTAGGTAATGTCACTATTAGAAAACATCTAACAACAATAAAATAAGCAATAAAACCTGAGAGCACAGCTTCACAGATGCAATGTTCATCTACCTTCATCATCTAAATTATACATTCAAGAACTGTGTCCTGTGCAAAATACAAACATGTCAATTTCAGCCCACAGGGCATTTTTCCCCCTAGGTTTATAACCCCTTGAAAATAGAGGTTTCATCTAGAAAACTTAACATATCCTCAGCTGCTTTCAACATTATAATATATTCATAAGGCAAATATTCACTAGCAAACACATAACAAATTACATGGCATGAGGGTGAGGACCAAATTCATAATGATGAGAAATGGACCAAACCAACCATGAGACACAAAGTAGAAATCAAAGAAGAAAACAAATATGTAAAATAAACAATATTAAAGGTAAAACATTATGGTTAGTTTTTCAGCCACTGTTAGAGAAAATGGTTAATATGTGCATGCAAGTGCGTTTGTGTGTTGTGTAAGATTAGTATTTAAAGATGCAAAACTATCTCCTTAAGAATATACTATAAGGGTCATGAGTGAGAGAAAAGTATCTGTGAGGAAAAAAAATATCACATACCGTCATAGTAGACAATTGCTCCTACCAGTTTGTCCTTCTGGAGCATTGGGAAATGTTCAAGGGCTCTTGATTTGCTGAGGACATAACTGCTTTTCAGGCAATTGCTTCCTGCAACCAAATCATACAGCTTGATTCCTACCCAGTAGTAAGGTAACTGCCACCACCTACAGCATAAATAGAGGGGAAAGTTCTTTAGAAACAGAGTATAGCATTATAGAACGTTACCTTACAGTACAAGACCCCTTTCATTTAAGAAAAACAAAGCATACCTAGAAGTGGACTGCAAAAGAAACAGACTTATGCAACTGTTTTTGACACCAATCTAGCAGAAGTCTGTAAGTAAAATAAATCAATGAGATTTTTAAATGAATCTTCTCTGAGGCAGTTGTTCTCAACCTGGCTGAATATTAGAATTCTCTGGGGAACATTAAAAATAAATACTGATGCCTAAACCTCATACATCCAGAAATTGATTTAACTAGACTAGGGTGGGGGCCCGGATGATGACAATGTGCACCCAGGATTAAGAAACACTGGTTCAGGAAGTCCTAAGCGATCTATGAGGAAGGATGAACAAAGTTATAAAAAATCTGTTTCCAGCCCCCTACAACACTAATGTGGTTAACAGAGTTACATAATCTACTTTTTCATACTACCTGAATTCCAATGTAAGGCAACTTCATGGATAGCTCTAACAACATTAGGAAAATTAAGTTTTATAATTTATAATCTGACCCTTCCTAACCAAATTTCAGCCTTGGTTAACTCAGACACGTAACATGACTCAAAATGGCTTGGGTTTCAAGTGGGTATATGGTATGTTTACATTTTACAACAGGATACTTTAGCGGAGCCATTTACAGTCTGCACATGATCCTCTTATGTTCCTTAATGCAAATGCAGTTGCTCATCTATATACTCTCAGAAACTGGAGGAAGAAACTACTAATTACAAATACAGAACACGACCTCCTTTGCCTTTAAAATCTAGAGATAGGCCAGTAGAGAGCAATTTAAGAAAAGCCATACTTTTAAATACAACAAAGGAAAATACTTGAAAAGGATTAAAGATTAGGACCAATTAAAACCAAATTATGAAATATGCATTGCGGGATTATTTCCATTAAAACTGTTGTTCTATTGACCGCAGAGAAGCAAATGCATACACGTGATATCAA